TCTCCCCCACCCCAGGCCTCTCCCTCACTCTGCTCTCATCCAAGGGAATAATGAGAAATATGGAAATGTGCTCCATCAAATTCTCCGTGACTAACTCTCCCTCTCCTCTCGCTCCTCTCTGTCTCTGTCTCTCCCTTTCTCCCCTGTCTGTTTTCTATATCATTTTTCCTCACTTTATCTCCCCCTTGGCCTTGTTGTCTTGTTTCCTCTCCTCCTTTCTCAGTTTGCCTCCTCTTTCTCTTTGTTCCTCACTTTATAACCATCTCCTGCACCTCCACAGTGTCTCTCTCTCTCTCTCTCTTTTCTTTAACGCCTCTCTCTCTCCTTCCTCCCAGAGCCCTTCAGTGCATCAGTTTGGGTGATGATGTTTGTGATGCTGCTCATTGTCACAGCCATCGCCGTCTTCCTTTTTGAGTTTGTCAGTCCGCTGGGCTTCAACCGCAACTTGGCCCAAGGCAAAGGTAGGCTTACACACAGACACATCACACCAATCTTTTCTCCCCAGAGCAAGAAGCACAAATCCAAGCTTCCCCTGAAGCACAAGAAGTGACCTATTATTACTCTGAGTTTAGACAGTTCAGTTACAGAGCATTAACAACTGTCTCTCCTAAAGCTGGAAATCTGAGACATCATCAGAAATCATAACCTGGAGCTGTGCTGTCGGCAGTAAACTGGAGCTTGATGTTGTGTTGGCACAAAATTGTATTTTAACTTAATTTAACTTTAAAATGAAAGTGTAGAAAGTGAATAATGTTTTTCTTGGAGTTTTCTTTCAGCACTTCCTGAGCATTGGTTCAATAAATCTAATCAATGTGTTTAGTTTGTTGTTTTTCTTCTTACACAGTGATTGAACAACAAATTCCAACAATTTTAAATTAATGTTTTTTCTTTTACAGTTTCACCTTTCAGGAGGGACAATTCCACATTTTGGGAAATCCTCATTTTCTTTATTGAAAGTTAGATGAGAAGATCAAAACCACTCTCATGACTGTACAGTAAATACGAAGCTACATCCAGCTGTCTATTAGCTTAGCTTAGCATACAGGTATCAAAATCTGCCTAAAGCTATTTTTGTTTCATCTTGAGTCTTGAGTCCTGTCATCACTACCCAGGCTAGCCAAATAATTTCAGTCTCTGTACTAAGTTAATCATCTGTTGGCTGGCATGACACGAGATGTGGGAACAGTATAGACATTTTTTATTATCAGAAAAAAAACAAATAAGCATATTTCCCAAAAGGTGCTTCAATGGTTAAATCCAGAGCTTTACCATACTTGCAGACATTTGCAGCTGAAGTGAAATGCAGACCACAAGTCAAACTGTCAAAAACTTTACTGAATCCAGTCTGAAGTTCACTTCAACATACATTGCTGCTCCAGGCTGGAAAATCAAATTGTGTTCTTCATATTTTCTGTCTTATTGTGTTGCAAAGCTGCATCTCATCAGTCACAGCTCATTTTGAAATAAATTAACCTATTGTTTTTAATATTCAAATGCAATTTCTTGGCAGTTTACCTTTGCGGCATGTGTTGTGTGCATATATCTCCACTTTTGCAGCCTTGTTTTTTTTTTATTTTCTGCAAGACATTAGTCTGGAAAAACTCCAGATTAGTCAGTGGATAGTGTTAACAAGCTACATTTGTTTGTGGCTTTAAATTGCTCTAAGTAAAGTTCGATCTACTTACCCAAAAGAAGTTTCGGTCTCCTTTTATTGATCATGCTCCCAGACCAAGCAAATGCCTGTTGCCGACATTAAACATTGTGACATCTGTGAGCTGTTGGCATAAAAAAATTGAGGCTAATAAAAGCATTTTTACAACATCTCCCCTCTGATCCTACTATAAAATTAAACAGTCTTTCTCTTCTTCCATCCACACATTATGCCCAGCTACGTTATACAGTATCAAACTGCACCTAAAGATGCTCTTTTTAATTTTAGAAGATTTTTCTTTAGTCAACAAGATGTTTTTATGATGACATGACCCCGTGTCTTTTTTTTCAGCCACTGGTAAACAACTATAAAGCAAGAATTTCAGGGGGTTGCAATGTATATTGTGGAATAATTATATGGTTGCTGTGCTTCTTTTTGACTGCCTTTGCCCTTTGTCGTTCTTTTTTCTCTTCGTTATCTCTGCTCCCCTGCCTTTCTGTCTCTCAGACCCACATGGTCCATCGTTCACCATCGGTAAGGCCATATGGCTGCTGTGGGGGCTGGTGTTCAACAACTCTGTGCCCGTGCAGAACCCAAAGGGCACCACCAGTAAGTTCATCGTATCAGTCTGGGCCTTCTTTGCCGTCATCTTCCTGGCCTCCTACACTGCCAACCTGGCTGCCTTCATGATCCAGGAAGAATTTGTGGACCAAGTCACAGGACTGTCTGACAAGAAGGTGGGATTACAAACATACGGACACACAAACACACACAGAAGAAACTAAACGCATTCACAGTCAGGGTTGCTCTTGTAATGGATGCCAGCCCTGCAGCCAGACAGAACTCTCCATGGAGTACCCTTGGGCTTCAACAGCCCAAACCCTCTGGTCGTAGCTGTCACCACACTTAACACTGCCAGCACAGCAGGCCCACAGGCACACACACACAGGCCGCATAGATCAAAGAAATGTGTGTGTGTGTGGCTTGTATGACAGCAGACCCCCAGCCAGTCTTACGCTAGGCTGGACACACAATGATGATGACTGATGAGTCCACTCCACTGTCGTGCCTTCCCTCCTCCTTTCTCTTTTCCTGTCATTCTCCATTCTTCCTCTTGTCTTCTCCACCTGTGTGTTTTACACTTCTTCTCTCTCTTACTTGAACTTTCTTCTCCTCCTTTTTTAAATTCTTTTCTTCTTGCTGTGTCCCAATTAATTTCTTTGTCTTCAAGCCTCTTTGTGTAAAAATTTTGCTTTTCTTTTGTTCTTCCCAGGGACCAAACGGTAGAAAATGAATGAATGAATGAATGAATGAATGAATGAATGAATTGTTCTTCCTCTCTAAACAATCTGTATCTCTTTTCCTTTCCTTCTTTCTTTCCCTGCAGTTTCAGAGTCCATACTCCTATTCCCCTCCATTTCGCTTTGGGACTGTTCCTAATGGCAGCACCGAGCGTAACATCAGGAAGAACTATCCAGATATGCATCAGTACATGACAAAATACCATCAGAACGGCGTCCAGGATGCGCTGATCAGCCTCAAGACGGGGTACGGTAAACTTGTCAAGCCAAGTCACATCAAGTTGAGATTTATTACACCTGAGAAGGGAATTCTGTTTAGAAACACCATGTATACTTGAGAATATGTGAAAACAAACAAAAGGCAAAGAAAGAAACTCGGTCCCAAGGGGCCCAGGCACTAGCTCATGCTATAATGCTGCAGTAACTGTGCTGAGTGTTTCTGTCACTGATGGTACAAGGCAGGCTCTGCCTGCAAGTGCTAATTATTGAGTCTTGTTGCTGCTGGAAAACAGGAGCTGCCAAAACAGGGACAGTGTAATTTGTTGTGGAGTTTGCTACCTTTATTCTCACTCCTAACACACTAATGGAAGAATGGCTGCTGTGCTTTTATTTGTTCATTACTTCTGGGTGCTTTGATCTTTGGAGTATTTTATCCAAACATAATTTTCCTCTTTGCTTTTCCCTTTCTGCAATTATTTTATTGATATTGCATATCAAAAAGATACGATTTGTTTTTCATATCTCATATATTAGTCTTTGTTTATACAACATCAAAACTCTATATTGAATGTGTTCAGGAGAATCATCTGTGTTTAACTGAATTCTTAGGCAAAAAGCAGTTGATTGGACACAATACGATGTATGCATGTACTTTAATGGGTTTATATTGTTTTCAAATGCTGTCTGCACTTAACTGAGTGAGTATTAATCTGAAAGTAACCAAACTGTAACAACAGATACTCTATGCATTTATTTAACATTCGCTCTTTGGTGAATAGTTTTAATCCAAGCACTGTATATGTACTGTACGCATGCATATCTAACAGGGGGGGGGCTAGGTACCAGGCTGTAGTCACTGAGTAATCCAAGTGGTTTGTGTGTGGATCTGAGGAACTGTTACACTTCACAGTGTGAACATTATTAGGTTCAGTAGTGAAGATTCAGATTTCATATACTGTACCTCTCTTTTATCAGTTGAAGTCAAATACAGTACAATATTGTTACTCCCATGAAATCAGACATACGTTTAAAAATGCCAAACAATATATAATTAGTGAAGATTCAGATTTCATATACTGTACCTCTCTTTTATCAGTTGAAGTCAAATACAGTACAATATTGTTAGTCCCATGAAATCAGCACAGACATACATTTAAAAATGCCAAACAATATATAACTGTTTATAACAGCATACAGCGGTGGAAGGTAACAAAGTACATTTACTCAAGTTTAGTAATTAGTATAAAGTTAAGTACATGCTTGAGGTATATGTACCCTTTTCTGCTACTTCGTACTTTACTATGTATTAGAGGCAAATAATGTACTTTTTAATCTACTACATTCATTTAGTAACTTTAGTTACTTTGCAGAATCAGATTAGTAAAACAAAATACAGCGTAATCATAAGACTTGCTGATTCCTGGTGTAAATTTCAGAAGAGGTTTTTTGTAGATTTAAAAACAACAGTGTTTTTGTATGTCACAAAATAAATCCGGAAAATTAGAGAAAAGTGAGCAAAAGTGAAGCAAATTTTTGTTTTTCTTAAAAAGTAGCTACACCATAAATTATTTTTGAGCTGTACACATAGTCATATAGCGTATTGTTGGTACATGATGCTGATTTTTTTAAACAGAATTCACATTTTGTGCAAAATCTGATTTACCTGCTCAAATGTATCCAGTTTGTCTGCTTGGATCTTAAAGTTCAGTTCAGTCAAATCCTTAACTGTGATGACTCTGAGGTTTGTTTTGTTCATCAGGAGATTTATACCTCAGCAGAGCCAGTAAACACAACACACAGGCCCGTCGATAACTCTGCAGTATTCAGAGGTTAACGAGGTATTTAGTGCTAGCAATCAGTAACTTTAACCATGATAAACAGCAGGGCTACTGACACTCCCCCACAAATGCAGACACTGGAGAGCCTCTCGCCTCTAGATGAGCTACAACACAGGTGTGCACACAGTGACACTGTCAAAGGGCCGTAAACATGCCTAGAGAGATGAAGACTGTCAGAGCTCCACCAGACTCGCTGTCTCTCCAGCTCAGAGAAAGAAAATTCAGCAGTAGCTTCTCATGGCTATTACACTACTGTCCAAATGTGACAAAATCTGCCTACTGGCACCTCTAAAACTCACAAATTAACACATAATATCTCTTTTGTATTGTCTGTACAAAACCCACAGTTTAAATACAACTGCTTAACCACTGAAATTATGATTATACTGAATATAGAAAATTGAGAAGAAATAAATATTTCTATCCTTTCACGTTAATAATTTCACAACCTCTTGTGATGCTTTACAAGTGGGAACCACTGTGCTAAGTTGTAAATTCAGAATGTGTCTTTCACTTACAGAAAGCTGGATGCTTTCATCTATGACGCTGCCGTGTTGAACTACATGGCCGGCAGAGATGACGGCTGTAAGCTCGTGACCATTGGCAGCGGTTACGTCTTTGCCACCACAGGTTATGGTATCGCCCTGCAGAAAGGATCCTACTGGAAGCGGGTGGTTGATCTGGCCATACTAGGCATCATAGGCGATGGTGAGGCACTTGCACACATACATTATCTCAGACACACTGCAGTAAAGTTTCTAAGAAGCTGAAGACCTTAAATGTTATTACAATTGTGCCATTGCTCAGCTGTCTCTCCTTCCTCCCACTTCCTGAACACACTCTCCTCCCTCTCTCGTTCAAAAAGCTATCAGGGGCTCGTCTTAACACACCATTTCATCATCATTATTCTGTGTGGGTTTGTGTGTGTGTGTGTGTGTGTGTGTGTGTGCCCACCATGTCCTGTTATGTTTACTCCTCCAGATTGTTCTGTATAATAAGCTGTGAGATGGTGTGAATGGAAGAAGGAGAATGAGCCAGACAGAAATCAAACTGCTGAAATCACTAAAGCACTTTGCCTCACACCCGGCCTTTTTACTCAGGGAAAACACCCGCATGCTCAAACACACATGGTCAAACACACAAACCCATCCCCTGATGATAATTCCTCCCATATTTCCTTGTCACTCCATCACTATCAATTCCTCGCCTTCCTCCAGTGACCCTTTATTCACACCGCCTCCTGTGTCCGTTCCATTTCAGTCTATTAACCACTTTACCTCTCTTACCTCCTGTCTCCTCTCCATCTTTTCATGTAATGATATGCCCTTTTCCTACCACACCTATATTATTCCCTCTACTGCTCATCCCCGCCCTCCCTTCTGTCCCTTTACCTCGTTTCTCACCCCAACCTTCTGCTGCCATCTTAATCCTTCACTTTGCTTTTTCCCTACCTTTACGACAGGTGAGATGGAGGAGCTGGAGTCCCAGTGGCTGACTGGGATTTGTCACACTGAAAAGAACGAGGTGATGTCCAGCCAGCTGGATGTGGATAACATGGCAGGGGTCTTCTACATGCTGGCCACAGCTATGGGACTCTCTATCCTCACCTTCATCTCTGAACACCTTTTTTACTGGAGGCTGAGATACTGTTTCACTGGTGTCTGCTCTGGGAGGCCAGGTCTGCTCTTCACTATCAGCAGGGTAAAGAAAAGGAAAACATTTCTAATAATGCTTTTCCACTGCAGGAACTTTATTTGCATTTCGACAGCAGGAAGTGGGTCCAGTGTTGTTTCCTGGGTAGCAGTTTTTGCCTCCTCTGCTTCTGAGGTAGCACTTCAAGATGTTCCTGTTAGAATTTACAGAGCCGAACTCAGCTCACTGATCAAACACCCTCCTTGAGAGTGCAATCACTGATTTACACTGTAAGACGGCACTGATGGTTGCAATATTATTATTAGGAATTTGAATGGGAATTTCTTGTTTAAACAGTAAAGCGGACTTGCACACTTCTCTAAAACAAAGAGATGGGGTGAAGAGGAAGACGATAAACATGCAGAATCTGAAAAAGAACCAATCCAACTACATTTGCAAATGTGGTTAAGCAGAAAACAGAAAAATAGAAAAAACTCAGCACATTATTCTGAGCCGCAAGCCTTTCTACTGTTTAACAACATCAGTTCAAACATTGCACAGTGCATTACAAAAACACTTACTCTGTTGCTGTCTTGTTCTGTGCAAAAATAGCATCTCGAGCAGATGATTTTTTTTTTATCCTTTATGCTTCTTCAGATGTGGGGAAAATGCAAACAGGGATGTCTAAAACTCACATGACTGTCATAGTTTAAAGAAACTATGTGAACATCTCTTTGTGTGTGTCTTTGTGAAACACCCACAGTACCACAGTAGTTACTGTTAAGACATTGGAATCTGTGCGCACGTGACAGCAGAAAGACTTTGTGATTATAAAGCCCAGCTAATGCTATGCATTAGGACGACTGGCTAGAGGAATCAAACAGCTAAGGGGATGAGAACGTGGACACACACTCATGTGCATGCACACAAAGCCCCCTCTCTCTCTCACGCACACATAGACATGCACAAGCCTGGTCTGACAAAGTTAAAAATGGTTACGCATATGCAGGTGTAGTGAAGTGAGGGACAGGCTTGTCCACACAGACAGACAAATGCACACACATAAACAGAAAGAGACACACCCAAACAGACTGTCCTTTCATTATTCAGTGGACTCTGTGTTAAGCAGGGCTTTTATTCCAGACAAGCAGCATTTCACACATTAAGTGTTTTACAAAAGGAGTGTGATGTGTGTGCGTCTGTCTCTCTGTGTGTGCATGCTGTTAGAACAGCGATGCTGGAGGCTAAGTGGCTCTCAGAAGAACATCTCCTTGCACTCACAGGCCCCCTCCAGTGACATCATCTAAATTAAATTTTCTAGATGCCTCTGAAAGCAGTTCATCTAAAAAAAGTGGTGATTATCTCTTTTAGCTACATTACAAAATAAAAGTGAGGTTAAGGTTTGCGGTAAACTCACTGGAGGAAATGATACAGAGGTCTCTCCTAATACCTGGCAAGGAAATTAGTCACTTCTCCTCTCCTCTCCTCTCCTCTGCTCTCCTCTCCTCCTCTCAGGGTATATGGAGCTGTATCCATGGCGTTCATATAGATATGAAGAAGAAGACTCCTGAGCTGGACTTTAGCCCTCAAGCCAACATGCTGCACCTTCTCAAGTCTGCCAAGTCCATTGCTATGTCTTCTCCTAAACGCAACACTGTCCTCTTGCAGCCTAGCATCCTAGATATGATGTCAGGGAAAGGTACTGTAATACTACTATCAACAGTCCACTGTGCGCTGTATATTTAATATTTAAAACAAAATTCATTAACATACACAGAGCATGTAAACATGGCACCTGTGATCAAATTGCCCACAAACTATTCCTGTCTTTTCTGTAGAGTTTCCATATGTAAAAGAAAGGTGACTCCCTTTACCTTGTTGTAGATACCAAACTGTAATCAAATTGACTATCATGAAAAAACTCATGATTAGAAACACATAAGATACTAAATACAGCATGCCAGGGCAAAATATAATGTTTCAGCTAACAGGTTGAACATCTGTCCAAACATCCATCTACTGTATCTGCAGTCTGAGGTGCATCTCTCCTTGTCTCCTAGGTAACTCACTCCATAGTCTGCCTCCAAAGGGTCCTGGTCTCTATAGCAACACCACAGGTCCGCAGGGCTTCCTGTCATTGTCCGGGCGGCACAAAGCCCTCCTTAACAATGCTGCGCCATTTCCCGGGCAACAAAAAGCCCCTGCCCACCAGACCAGCCCCAACAAACCTCAGCTGTCAATCACCAATGATAATGGTAAGACCCGCCTCACCGCGCCACCCGCATCAAAACCTCGAGCCCTGTGGAAGAAAAGTGTGGAGACACTGAAGACCCAGCCTTCTGTCATATCGCCAAGCCCTGGCCCAAGCCCCTCCTCAGCATCTGGACCTGGACCTCCACCAATGAAAAGCCAGCGCTACCTGCCTGAAGAGCCACTACACTCTGATATCTCAGAGTGCTCCAGTCGGCCGCAGTCACACAAAGATTCTGACTCTTTGGCAGCGAGAAGTGGATTTAAGTCTATCAATCAGCTAAGGAAGAGGGGTGGGGGAGGAGGTGGGAGTGGGGGCGGAGGATCCAAGATCTACTCCATTGACTCAGACCAGGCCAGTCTTCAGTCCGCTCCCCCCTACCAGCGAGACAGCCAGGGGGGAGGCGATGACCACAGTTACCCCCCTGATCTGTTTCCACCTGAGAGCACATACTCACACACTTACACACAGTCCCACCAGGGGGACGCACCCATTTTGCAATTGAGCGCCAGCCTGCTGCATCACAGTCACAGCGCTGAGGCTGACCTACACTCCCTGAAGGACAAGAAATACAGCACCTACACACACAGCAGGTATTATGTTAAGCAGAAAATAAACACAAATGAACACATAATTTCATTGTTCAGAGTGTTTGGACGGAGTTTTTGTATGTGTAATCCTTTATCTTCTTTTCCCTCCAGTGTGAAGGACAAGGCTGCAGGTTCATTAGATGTTCCAGGTGCTGGTCTGGGGACCCAAAGTGTGAGGCCCAGTCACTGTCGCGCCTGCCTGACCAAGCTAAGCGGTTACTCCGGCCTGTACACTGTTCGCTCACCGCAGGTTCGGTGCGATGCCTGCGCCCACCTGGGAAACCTATACAACATTAGCGAAGACCACCTCCACTCACACTACTCCCACACACACACTCACCCACACAGTGGGGACATGTTTACACACTATCTTCCACAGAGCGAGCTGGGCCTGGTGGGCGAAGGGGACGGGCTTATCAGCCACTTCGAGCCCTCTCCTCCATCTCCAATCCCCACTTCCTCGTCGGCCCAGGACCTCCAGCTGAGCCGTCAGCACTCCTATGAAAACGTGCTTCCAGACGGCACTCCAGAGCTGCATTTGCAGCCACATGCCCACATGCGGGGTTTGAGCCTGCCTGACAGAGATAGGGAGAGAGAGCTTACCCTGGATGAGGGGGCCTATGCTAATGTTCTCACAATGCGCTCTGATCGTCCATTCAGCAGTCGCAGCCCTCCCTCCCCGTCACCCTCCCACCACCACAGTCTGGACACCCCAGTGCCCCATCCTCGGCGTTCAAAGAGTCTCTTTCCTGATCGGCCTTCTCACAACCCTTTCCTCCATTCAGCCCCTGGCACGACACAACGAGATCCTGCCTCCCAGGCTGTCACACGCATGCCGCAGAGAAATTCCGCCCACGAGGTCTATAAACAACGAATGCCGCTGTCACATACCCTCGGTAACCATGGCAGCCACCACATCAACCAGCATGGCAGGCACGTTTGA